TGGTGGAAATGGTCCTGGAAATTAGTAATGAGCTATGGATTTTGTACTGTGACAATGGCTTGATAAGTCAGTCCTAACTAAATGTTCCAGGTCAATTTTACAGCGATCACTCATTTTACTGCAGAGTGGTAGGTGATGCAGGTCACCATTTGTTGTTATTTGTTTTCCAAATTAAATTATAAAACTGAGCAGTTTAATTGCATGTATCAAACTGCTGGTGTTAAGGGTTGTATCACAGAAAAGGCTGACAGATTTATAATTAATGACAGTGAAGCACAACAATAGGATCAACAGAAGTGAATTAACAGACATTGATTTCTTTTTGAAAGAGAAAATTACACTGTAATTTAGGGTACTTCAAAACGGCACTTAAAACAGAGAATTCTTTGGTCTAGACTGTACTGTAGCTATTTCTTTTGAGAGATAAAGGAAAAAATCTTCTACATGGCTGATGTCTATTTTAATGAGGCTTGCATCATTTTTTTGTTCAAGCTCTTAAGCTCTTGTGTATCTTTTCCATTCAAAGACAGCTCAGTAATCAAGTGCTGCATAACAGCTTTCACAAACTAGCTTCGATAATCAGAATTTTTCATGAATCCAGAAGGTGTTCCTATTCTGGTATACTGCCATCCTGCAAGCCCTCTCTTCAAATTAATGAAACCAAGTGGCATGTCAACTGCAATGTCACACATCTGCTCACTGGATTCTACGCATGCTGCTGCCACTATACAACAGATACCCTCCAACCGATTTCTAGATTGTACTGCTCATTCTTTTCCATAAAACTGAATAAAGAGGGTCAGGAAATTGAGGTAGTGAAGTAGATAACTCTGTTTATCAGACTAGCAAAATTAGCAGAGAGTATAAAGATATACTTAAAAGTACATGGACTCTTTATGTAACGTATTATGTCTGCAGCTTAAAAAATGTGTGTACAACACGCATAATATTTGTGCAGACACAGTCTACTGTAGATGGGGATTTCTGCTGTTGAGAGAAAGCTTGGATTTGTGCTTCCTTACCTATATGAGCAGTCCTGTAAACTCTATGTAATCCTTATGGAACAAATTTGCTTAGTTGTATTTCCAGAAGATGCTGGGATGTGATCTGAAACATACAGAGAGTGTAATTTTTTTAATCAACTGCAGCATGTTAGAAAAGCACACTTCTTTCTTGTGCACAATGTCACTCTGACTTTGAAAATCACCAAATGAAAAAGAATAGTTTTGCCATCTGGAAATGAGACTTCCCATCAAAATCTACTTTACATTGATTAAGGTATTCACCATTATATTTGAGCACCTGTTACAGTTCTGTCCGTGAAGGAAAAAAATCCAAGAATAGCACTTTCACAAGACGTTTTAAAGGATTTGTCATAGTAAATTAGACCATTAGTCTAGCTAATCCAGTATCCTGCCCCTAGCAATGGCCAGGGCTTCAGAACATAGCTTCTGATTTGTACCTGCTCAGACAGTGAGTGTTATTTCTCAGCTTCATGGTGATTTGTCACAGGCCTTTTAGAATAATCTTGTCCTGTTATGCTCAGATGCCAAAGTTATTTTGTCTATTCTTTCAGAAGTTGATAGTCTCCAATTATTTATTCCCTTCCCGTGTTAATCCAAAGGAAAAGCTGCTCATTGTTATACAACAAATGAAACGAGGAGTATCTTGCTATCTGATTATATCAAATATGTGTTAATATGCAATTTGAATGATAACTATCTGCATTAAATCCACTAAAGGCAAGGAAAATGTTTGCTCCAGTGTTGATTGAAGATTACAGCAGGTGACTCCAGTAAGGAGTGGTTTGTGTTAATTGCAGAGTCATGGACCTACCAGCCTCAAGTAGGAGACAAAGTTAGTTAGACCTGAGTGACAAAAAGAAATGTGCCAAATACGGCAAAAAGAGAGAAGCCTTCTGCAAAGGCAAGGGAGGGAATTCTTAAATGTCTCCTTTCTTCAGAATAAAAACCAAACTAGCATCGTCATTCATTTTATTACGATAAGATTTCTATCACATCTTTCATTTTGGAAGAATTCAATGCATTTTGCAAATGTCTAAAAGATGAAATGCAGTGCTATTGGTTGGATAAAGTTTTAGCAGTAGAGTTTTTAAATGTCTTGCATTATACAGGTGGCAAAGAAAAGGATATATTATACAGGTCATTCTACTGGAAATGCTAAAAAATGCACCAAGTCCAGTAATCTTCAACTTTTTACATGACATGTAATAAAAAACTGTATGATGAACTACTCCAGTGGTATGCTACCCTCATAAACAAAGGTGTGAACTGAGTCCTCACATGGTCTGAGTTTGGGCTTATTTTGGGTTTGTTTGGGTTTTTTCCTTTGTTAAGTAATTTTGAATATATACATGCACATGTATATATTCAGTATGTGAGTAGGAGCACTTCCATTCTATTTAACTTTACCAACAGTTAAATCTAAACTTGTTTGCTTTTTACTGTTCTTTCCATTATTCTCAAACCACAACCAAAAGCAAGCACACTTCAGAATTAGGATGTCCCCAGACAGGTGGTCTTGCTACCTATGAATAACTTTTAAATAATTAAGCAAGATAAAATGAAACAGCCTGGAGCAAGCTCCAGATAAGTTCATCAGCTGCATCACAACCTAATGATAAAAATATACTGAAAACAGTCTTAGCCAAGTAATAGCGGCATGAGTGTCTGACTGTCATCGAGCTTCAGGAAGGCCTATATCGGCCTGTATAATGAATACATACGTATTCCTTGCTGCATTCCAATCTGCATCCTCATTGGCAAGGATTAAGGAATACTTAGATCTTGAGAGATTTTTCCTACTGCAAACTCTATCATAATCTTAAGCAATATCTTACTACATACAGATTACTACTTAGACAAGCAATATGAAACAATTGGTTCTGAAGAAGACGCTGAGAGTAGCCAACAACAGACTTGCTTCTTTCCTCTTGCCTTCAACAGCTAGTGAAGACTTGTGCTGGGTTTTGGATAAAATGATCCTGAGATTTCAGAAGGGGCAGCTGAGAAAATGTCTCTGTTTCCTAAAGAACAAAGAAGGAGATGGTTTTGCTTGAGTCCGTATGTTTTATATTTTCTCCCAATGAAAACAGAGTTCAGCCATTCATTATAGGCTATTTCGAGTATCCAAGATACCCCGTATCCTAAACGGAAGTCATGGAGGCATGCCACAAGATCTGCAGCCACTGTTTCCTTTAAAAAAATGGTAGCATATAATTCTATCTGATAGATTACAGCCTACACTATGGCACCAGCAATCTGCCCTTCTTTCTGCTGTAGTTTGTTGCCTACCTCTTACAAAGCAATATGACCCTAAAGCGTGGATGTAACCCAATGCAAATAGAAAAGTTTTGCAGGATAACCACACTGTGATGCCAAAGGAGATGCTGCGTCACTGGACATGATGGAGAAAGGGTCTTGAGTCTTTCTGCCTGTAAGGCATAACCAAGGCAGAGGACACTTGAGGGCTCTCTGGTGAGGAGATGAGGAGCGTGCAGGGTTTCATGCACTTGAGATATCTACTCAGTGACGAAGCACAGTCTTTCTTGTGTCACATAAATTGTAGTGCACACAGCACCACGTAATGCTAACTGCTCTTTGTATTTCACTAAACCATGGGCAAAGACAGGATGCTCAGAGGAAAGGATTTTTCTATCCTTTGATAGAGACCTTTGAAAACACACAGTTTCTGTTAGTCTCTGAAAGGTTAACCAGGACTTGCATAGTATTTCTAATTTTCCTGTTTCCAGTTCAAACCCCAAAATAACTGCAGTGATTCTATCTTTCAGTGAAATATAGTCAAAGTGCCTGAAGGATAGACCACGTGTCATTTGCAGCCTGCAAAGCCTTGATAACCCATAATGGCATTTTGTAATTGTAGTGTGGTATTTAACTGAGGTGCTGTATTCCAGGTGAAGTCCTTTATGCAGTCACTAGCATTATTGCCCATTCGTTCAATTGCATTCTAAGAAGGAACAGCCTCCCATGAAAAACTTTCAGGATCATTCAAGTAAAAACATGCTGCTGAAGGAACATTACATACAGTCGTAGCAATCAGTCAGCTTCTGGTCAGTTCGCAAATGTTAAATGCAAAGTATGCATTTAATATATTGGAAATTCTTTTGGATTCCTTTGGTCTTGTGTAAGTTGTATTACCAAGTTTCTCCACTGCGTGCCTTGAAGCTCTGTATTATCATCAGTACTGCTAGATAGCTAATGCCTACTTCAAAGTTTCCAGTTTAGATCTAAAAAAACAAAAAAAGAAAAGAGTTAAGACACCAAAACTGAAATATACGCAGCTTCTATCCTTCACCTTTGCAGTTATACTCTTTGTATGGAGGAACATCACAGCTCCCCTTACAGTGTTCCTCGTGAAGGTAAATAGACACTTGAACAGGATGGATTGTGTTTTTTCAAGTTGAAGTGGATGTACGGCTGGCTTTGCTGCAGAGCCCTCTAATGGAGAAGATAAACAAAGGATTTACTCCCACTTTTCACTGATGGAAGTTTGAAGTGGAGCCTTATCCCCATTTTTGTACACATCAAATAAGCGAGACAGGTAGTACTGCAGTCTTCTTGGCGGCCACTAATTTTCATGTGTCAGGTCCCTTTATATAGCCCTGTCAGTTCATCTAAATCATAATTTGTATTGCTGCCTACTGTGCAAATTACATACTTTGGGACACTTGTGTTAGTGTTCTTCAGTCCCAACCTAAAGTATCCCACTGTTTCTGTTGCAAAGCTGTTAGACAGAAAGGTGCCAAGCAGAGTGGTGTTCACTTAATGAAATCGCAGTTCTTGACTTGAATAGAGCAGTGTGGAGTCTTAAGAAGGAAAAGATCTTATATTATCCTAGAGCTGTATCTCCTTCTTAAAATACGTGTGTGTATATGCATCTGTGTGTGTGCACACAGACACTTACACTACGACTTGTAATAGTTCCGTGCCACTAATCTGCTTGCCTGTTCTTTTCTGTAGCCCAGATGATTTACTGAATGCACTGAATGAGGGTATCAGCCGTGCTGATGTGATCATTACATCAGGAGGCGTATCTATGGGGGAAAAGGTATGCTAAATTTAAGTATGACTTGCTACAATATATGTAAGAATTTCAAGCCAGAGTCTGTCATCAGAGCTTCTACCTTTGTATTAATGTTCATTAAAAAGGATCCTATTTTTTTGGAACACTTAAGTGTGAATTAATTAAGAAAATAGTCTTCAATACTATCCTCATTCCCTTTGTTCTTATTACTGTACTATAGTAGACATAGTACAACAGGGAAGATTTTAATTCTTAATGTGAGTGATTTGCAAATGTGTTTTTATTTAAGGAATGATTTATGTAGTTATGATGAGGAAGGTGCTTGGTTAATAGCACATGAAGGCAACAGACTACTTCTTATTCTTAGAGCAGGTAAAATGTAGATAGAATAAAGCTACTTTGAAAGTACTTCGAAAAGCAACCTGAGTATATAAATAGCTCTTTCTTACTCAGCAGATCTGTTTCCTGAACATGCCAAAGCTATATCTGTTACAAAAATAGTTTTATCGCATTTTGCGCCTGATAGTCCTACAGAGGCAATACCTACGAGACACAGTGAGCTGATATATTTGCCTTTTGAATCATTAACAGAATTGTTGATTGAGTTCCTGTTGGTAATCCCTGTGCCAAAACCATCAAAGAAAATAGGGATACACAGATGCTGGTGGGGCGTAGATGAACCTGCAGGACATTTATTAATCATGACTTATGCGAAGGAAAACTCAGATTACTTTTTGATCCCAGGCTGAATCTGTGAGTTTGGCAGGTAAAAGAAACATCTCTCCTTTTATAACTAACAGATTAAAGACAGTCATTAGGAGATGGCAAACATGAGTGCGGAGATGGCAAACATGAGTGCTGTTTTTGTCACTTTTCTGAGTAGAAATCATATTGTTGGATACATCACGAAAATGGATAACTAGTTAAACCAGTGCCAATTACTTTCAATCCCATTATTGTCCTCAGTATTCCTAGAAAAATAATCAAGGACAAGTGCGGGTCTTTCAATTGGGAATGTGGCGACATAGTGCAGACACAGGAACACTAGGAAGTGACTGGGCTGCTGAATGGTCTTATAGGCATTTACGCCTCCCGGCTAACTTCTTCCCAGTCAGAATTTGAGGCAACAGCATGAAGTCAGTAGGCTCTATATTCCACTGATGGTTAGCCCTCTGATACTGAGCTTTCACCAGTTTTCATGAAATGACTTGTGAACATCCAAAAAGTAAATAGAAAGTAAAAACGGGGTTAATGCAATCAATAATTGAGAATTCATGCCTGGCTGAAAAAAGTTGTATTTGAACACACACGAAAAAAAAAAAAAAAAAAAAACAAAAAACGAAAAAAAAAAACCTCCCGGCTAACTTCTTCCCAGTCAGAATTTGAGGCAACAGCATGAAGTCAGTAGGCTCTATATTCCACTGATGGTTAGCCCTCTGATACTGAGCTTTCACCAGTTTTCATGAAATGACTTGTGAACATCCAAAAAGTAAATAGAAAGTAAAAACGGGGTTAATGCAATCAATAATTAAGAATTAATGCCGGGAAAAAAAAATTTGTTTTTAAACACAAAAAAAAAAAAAAAAAAAAAAAAAACAAACAACGAAATAAAAAGAAAAAGATGGGAAAACTGCAAGGGAGCTTCAGATTTACTGCTTCCAAAGTCTCGTCACAGATGACTGTTATGTCCTGTGTGTTTAATCTCATTAAACACAACAGACAGGATACTACATCTTTGAGCACAGTAATTTTCAATAAAGACTAAACAAGTAATTCAATTTGTTTTAATAACTGGATCAATTGTATTTATGCAAAATCATTTAACTTGAACTAACGCAGAAGCCACCCACAGTTTTTCCTTTCTAAGGATTATTAAACCCGACCACTGTGAATTAAACCATGTCCCCAAGAAATTCCAAGAATTACAGTATCCTGGAAAACTATGATTTCTACAGTACAGTATTGATTTCAAAAGTTCTAGGACATCTCTAACTCTACTGCTAGATAGCTGCCATGGCAAAAGTTAAATAACTTGATGATTTTAAGTCTTAACTTTGAACCATAAAGGCTTTTTTCCATCTTTGACATAGAGAATGTTTTAGTAGTAGGTATTTGTGGGGTCCTCTAAGATTCTGATGCTGCAGCTGACTTTTAAGTAAATATATTGCTATATCCTCATGGAGTCAGGTTTGGCACCTAAAATGAGTCTGTTCTTCACCTCTTCTTTTTGAAAATACTTTCTTTCAAATACTGGAAATTCCCCACTGGACTGTAGCACTTTCGGTATATGAAAAGTCTTTTATCTTCACTTGATATTAATTAATTGCTTTGAATGCTTAGATGATGTAAGCCACTTTGATGTTACTTAATTGATTTTCTTTTTTGAATTTAAACAGGACTATCTTAAACAGGTGCTGGATATCGATCTTCATGCACAGATTCACTTTGGCAGAGTTTTTATGAAACCAGGGTAAGAAATCTTTCTACGTAGGCAGCACAGATGGAGGCTCTGTTGGGCCAAATATCCTATATAAGTGCTTCAGTAGATTTCAGTTTTCCAAATATACTGTAAACCACATGGTAGATATATATGGGAAAAGAAGCAAAAGCAGTCCTATTCAGATTAGCCATCATCTTTATGGGTGAAATTAACTGGAACAGAGGTCTTACTTTTTATTAGTAAGAGATATTTCTCTGATAATTATTGCAAATCAGGTTTGGGGGTTGGAAGGAAACCAGCATGGTACAAACATGGCCACAGTCTTCCCTGTGATCACAGAGCTCAGATATTGACATTGTTAAGAAATAACCAGGAAATATAAGGACATTTAACTGCTGGTTTGCTTAATGAGCATCTCATTTCACTTCAAAATTTGCATAAGTCATATTCCTACAAACAAACAATTTCTTGAGAGAGGTGGAATGACAGCTAATTTACAAAGTTTTATCTAATTGGCACATTGAGCATAGTAATTTTAAAGTAAACACAGTCCTTTATGTGTTTAGTTTGCCTCAGAAAACTGTTTCAGCATTGCTTTCCTTTGCTGTAGCACTGCTGATTAATGAGTCTGGAAGCATGCTTTGTAGAGAAAATGAAAACTACATGTATTGAAAATAGAGACTTCCCTTTCACAGTACAGTAGTGGAAAGATGCCTACAGCTCTGCCTCACTAACCATGGAGTGCAGGTTGTTTGCAAGCTACGTTGGCACGGTCCAGTAACGCAAGGCCAAGTGCAGCTTTGAGGAAGGATTCCCTCTAGCCCATAAGTGTTGCCAGGGAGCAGAACAGAAAGTGGGTGTTTGCTGTGAAAACAGACAAATACTTTTACTGTCTCTGCATACAATCCAGGAAAGAACTGCATGTGGGTTTGGTGCTTGTGCTGCTACTACCACCACCTCCTTTGCATAAAAGGAACAAGTGAGCTGACAGCGTGCTTCTGTCATACTGCTACAACCGATGTGGGGAAGTCCCAAAAATGGGATCTGCCCTCCAGCCTCTGCTGCTGACAAGAATGGTTATCCATTTAGATATTATCTGATTTAGAGAATTCAGAATATTAAATTCTGGTTCTGGCTTATCTGAAAGCGAATGTAATTCTTTCTTCTGGTGATCCCTCTGTAGACTTGTAGCAATAAACTTTTAATAACCAGACAGAAAAGCTTTAAGAAATCTTATTTTCCCCAAACATCCATTTTCATTTTATGCCATAACAAAGATATTTCTTAATGGTACCAAAAACATTTGGTCATCTAATCTTACTGAGAATGTAAGCACTCTCATTTTCATTGGCTTTAGTGCGATAGCAAATACTGTGTCTTAGTTTTCATTAATTCTGTCTTAGAAGGCCTTAGATACGAATTGTGATTACTATATTGGGAAAAATTCCCTTGAGTAAGTTCCAAGAGCGAAGCCAGAATTTGCATTGCATGCCTGTAATTTGATGTGCTACAAGACTGCAGAGCGATGCCTGGGATTTACCATTCCTCCACTTGATCTGAAAGTTGCTGAGCTAATGTAAGGTTGTATCGTGTCTAGCAGCACTGCCAGAAGAAAGTACTGGAAGACTTTACTAATGATGTTGTTGAAATCTCATATGGGAATTCATATTTCAGTAAATATGAATTAGCAATTTCCAGTTTCCAGTAAATATGAATTAGCAATTAGATTTTTTGTACCTCAGTTTGTGCACTCGTTACAAGATTTGGAGGTCTGGCACATAGTTCCCATTATGTTAGAGACATTTTAAAAGAGAAACTTCAAACACCATCTTCCCCTGGTAAAATAAGATATTGATTAGTCCTAGCAGATACAAAACTAGGTAGTAATGATCAAAGTCTGGCAAATCTCCAAAGTTGCTGCTGGGCAGCAACTATCATCTGCTGACCAGGTGATAGTTGTTAGCTCAAGATGAAGCCAAGGAACTCAGCCTAATTATTGCTCCTATAAAGTATCATTTCTAATGTTAAAAGGATGATATTAACATAGGTATATAGAAAACTTTTTAAATGGATAAGTCCCTTTTCTTTGTGAGCCACATTCTTGAGCCATCACGTTACTGTCCTGTTTGTATAACTGTAATAGCCCTGATGATAACAAGTCACTAAAGATCACTCAGGAGCAGCTCTGAAAGGCAGAGAGCGCTCTTTACTGATAAACCTAGGTCTTACCTGACTGCAGCTCTGCCTGTGTATCTGAATTTGTTCATCTGCAGACTAGCTAGCATCTGCTGCTCTGAAATACTGCTCCGTTGCCACTACTGCTGTAGACAACAGAGTAAGGGAAATTGGTGTCACTGATGTTATAAAAAATTTGGAGAGCTTTATATGAAAAACAAACACAGCTCTGTAACTGTGTAATTTCAGTATTACTTCTTTGTTAATTGGCTTCTAGCATGAAGACAGGATTTAGATTTTTGATTAATTAGTTCATCTGCTCTTAGATGTTTCCTCAGCAGAAGCAAAATCGTCTACTTAAAACTTGATAGCTGAATACCAAGAAAAACTAATTGTTCTGTCATCACAAAGAGAGGATTATACCCCCAGTATGGAATAAGCAGCAGGTGCTAATGAACTGCTGAGTGAGAGAGAGATCCTGGTTTGTTTTCTTTTCCAAATGTTTTAAATAATAACATAATAACTTGGCAGCACTAGGTTAATGGTTGGACTTGATGATCTTAAAGGTCTTTTCCAACCTAAACGATTCTATGATTCTGTGATTCTATAATAATGTTCAGTCAAAGTCTAGTGCAGATATTAAATATCTTTCCTATTCCATAGCCTGCCAACAACTTTTGCAACTCTGGATATTGATGGCGTAAGAAAAATAATCTTTGCGCTCCCAGGTAAGATGTTTTGTGAACTACTTCTGTTGCTGTGCATAGGTGGCAGACATGAAACAGAATAGTCACGTTTCACAGCACCTGTGTCTGGTGTTGGCATCCCTAAGGAAGGTACCTGTGAAGTTTTCCCAGAAATTTCCAGAAGAGACAGACTTATAGGGGTATACAAAGGAGTTCTTTCTTGGTCCTGTCCTCAGAATTTGACGGTGTACAGGCCTTAGGATTTCTTCCATCCAACAATTTCCTTGGGTTTTGTAAGTGGTACTATACAGGGGTCGTTCTTTCCTACAGCTCCCTCCACCTTCACAGTAAATATTCTGTGCATGTAAGTCAGTGTATCCACTCTGAAGTACTGAAAATGGAGACAAAAACGAGGGAGTGCCAAGGAACATGTCACAGAATATTTTTTTTTATCATGGAACCAAAAGAGGGCAGCATCGCTTCACCTCCTGCATGCTGCGGCCCCTCGGGAAATCACCGAATTCAGAATAAACATTTCCTTAGGGATCTGGCTACTAATCTCTATCCTCCAAAATCAGGAGGAATTTATTTTGTTCTTATTGCTCTGGCTTTGCAAGGATTTTTGACTACACAAGGAATCCTGTTCTTGATAAGCTGGTGTTTTTCAGCTGTCTCTCTAGTGCTTTTTCTCTCTCTTGTTTGAGTTGCTGCAGTACATTTTCTTCCAGGAGAGAGATCAATGGAGCATCTGTCTGATCGTAGTATTTATTTTAGAACTGTCATCTAGGGAAGTCCAGATGTGTAAGACAAGCGGTGTTTGACAGACATTGGTTATACACCTCTCTTGTGAGTCAACAGAAAACATATAAATCAGTAGAATTCTCCTCAGAATTTGTACTAAAGCATTTTACCACTCTATAGGGAATTGAAAGTTATTTTTCCGTAGGTCTTGGAAGCCTTAATCATGAATCAAGAGCCCTATCAGCTAGGACCTATACCTGTGCACAGTAAACCCTGCCCCGGCCCCAGACAAATCTTGGTGTAAGACAAAAGGCAACGGAGGAGCAGAGGCAAGTGGTGGGGCCTGAGGAACATGGGGCAGTTCTGGTCAGAGCAGGATTTCAGCATGCCATCAGCCAGAGAGTGTAGCTTTCAACAGGTGTACTTGCCACATGCCACTCCAGTCTTGAATGACATGTTTCCCGTACATAGCATGAAAAGCTCTTTAGAGTCCTTTAGAGTGCAATTGCTATAAAAACATGAGATCACTTTCAGCATTTCACAGAGCAAATCAAGAGGGAGTCATCACCAACTGTTCTTTGTCCTACAGGCAATCCTGTGTCAGCTGTTGTCACCTGCAATCTCTTTGTTGTTCCCGCACTGAGGAAAATGCAGGGTATCCTGGATCCTCGGCCCACCATCATCAAAGCCAGGGTAAGAAGCTTGTCCTCTATTTAAAAATTCTCTCAAGATGTTGAAGCACAGCTCTTTGGGCTCTGAAAGGCTATCTTGTTTGGGGAATTTGAGCCCTAGACTAATTCTGGCAAGTTGAAGGAAATTCACACAAAACAGAAGTACGTTCTCAATCTCTGTTAGTGGTAATATTCAGTCCCATCATTTCTAAGAGTTAGATGGCCATCTAATGGAGCAAGATACGCAGATGCAGAGGCAGCCATTTGCCAGTCAGGCAGGAGGGACGCTTTCCTGTTTAAAAAAAACATTTGTTTTAACCTGTGGTAAAAAACGCAGAGTAATCTGGGAATACCTAAAGAGTTGAGTAGTTCTGTATTAGCAATAGAAAATACAAACTTTAAAGCCTTTCTGTTCTTGAGTTATTTATATAAGTAACCCACGTGACCCCCATCCTAAATTATATAAATCTCTTAAACTATTCAGTTCACTTTTATAAGAAATCATGGATATTGTAACTCTGTTTAATATAGATTCAAGGCATGGTATTATAATGTATTCTTCTATTTTTGATTCAAATAAAGTACCAAGGAACACATTACCTTTTATAATTTTCCTAGTGTTCTTGGCTATGCACTTTTCTCTTACTGCTTATCCCGTGTCTCTCTTTCCCGCTTCCTCAAGCATCCAGATTTGTCTTTATCTCACAGCTAAAATACTCTAAAACAGAGAGCAATTTGTAGTGACCCTCACTTTTGCATGAATTTTCCAATGTGTTCCATTAAATTCCATTGTGAGCCATGCCCTGTATGTCTTTTCATTTCAAAGATTGGCCATTTCCCTTTTGTCAGAGCTAGCAGGATTTTGAATGCGAATAAAATTTTTATCTTTATACAGTGTAATCCAGAGACCAGAAACAATAAAGCTTTTTTCCCGAGAAATACTATCTTTAAACTGCCAGTAAAGGAACAGCTTTGGAATATTCCACTTAATGCATGTAGAATCCATCATATGTTTTGATATTATAATATCCCACTTGTATTTCCCTTAAATACTGAAGTCTCTACCTTCTACAGCTTTTCATCTTGCACTAGACGCCATCTGACCTCAAAATGCAAGTTTTTAAAAAGACTGTTTTTAAGGAAAAACAATTGAGCAGATGATTCCGTTATCTTAGACAGTGTAATCTGAATGCATGACATTTTCATCCTTTCTTTGCTTCTTCTACAGTTATCATGTGATGTAAAATTGGACCCCCGCCCAGAATATCATCGGTGCATACTGACTTGGCATCACCAAGAACCACTACCTTGGGCACAGAGTACAGGTTAGTGCCCAGTCACACAGACTGACAGACACACTCACACAGGTCCTTGCCTTCCTACGTATGTGTCTAGAAAACAACCAAGCATGTGCATGTGTTTTTTCATACAACCTTCCTTATGCAGACTGATTTGCTGACATATTTGTGCACATGCATACATGTATGTTAGTATAAAATTCAGTCATGATATGACTTACCAACTTAACCGTTAAAACATCCTTTATCTGAATAACCTGCCTTTATACACACACACACACAAAAAACACGTCTGTATGCTTGCATATGTGCATACATCCCTTTTTATAAACATCCTCCCATGCTTGCTTGCACTCACAGGCGCATTTGCTTACTTTTGCTCTTGTGCATGTACTAAACAAATGCAATTTGCAGCATAGGTAGGAACAATACAAATAAAAGAAGTGTGATTCTAGCTGAACTGCAAAAGTAGAAGAGAAAACAGAAGCTGTATATGTTCTCTTAAAGCAGACTAAGACTTTTATTAGTCATGTTTGCCACCTGGGGATACTTCTGGATACTCAGCTGCAGTTGAGGTAAATACTATATTTGAGTACTTTGTTAGCTGTATACTGCTAGAAGACGGACTCTGCCACTTTCTCAAGAGTTTCAGGTCCTTAAACAACTAATCGTCTTTTTGCTACATCCAAATTGTTCAATACAAAGCACTATATACAAGTCTCCACAGGGAAGACATTAACTCAAATGCATCTTACTGTTTACTCAGAGAAAGTTCCTACCATTGAATCCCAAGATCACATAGCCTCTGACATATTTTCAGGTATAAGTCAAGGTGTTACTTAGATCTATAACGCTGTATTTGGTTTAACTCTTGTTTGTTGTGCACCACTTCTTTCCTTACGCAAGCAGACTGTCTGGAATGATTTCTCTGTCAATCGGGAAGTTAGAAAGAAGAAGAAGAAGAAGAAGAAACTAGGGCATGACTTTTTATTGCGTTTTCATTTTTTGTCAGTACTACCAATGTGATACCGTTTATCTTCAGGACGTGTTGTGAAGATCAATGTCCCAAAGAAACCCATTCTTTTGAGGTCGTATGTTACGGATTTACGCAGCCAGCCACCATAAGAGGGTCCGACCCTAGGATCCTGATGAAAAATGCTATGTCTGAGTGAAGGTTTCCAATTCCTCTTTTATTAGTTCTCAGGTTGCAGCTCGAGCTGGGTGCCTCTGGAGAGGGACCCCTACCCCAGATTGCACTCTCCAGTTATACCCATACCACCCAGCACCCAGTCCCCAAGTCCAATCACTTAATTCCGGTCAGTGGTCTCTTGATTTCTTATTGGTTTTCTTGGTCGCTGGTCTGGCCACCTTCTGAAGTTACCTCATTCTCTTGGAATTGTTTCCTTGGTCCTTCTTCATTCTGCTCGCATCTGCCAGATTCAGCTAGTTCTGTGTTAGCAACATTAGTTTTATCAAAACATTTACTCTCCATCAGCTCTTGCGGCCTAAGGCTTCAACTACTTCAGCTACTAGTGCTAAGCTACTAATGCTAAACGCGACTATTCAGAGAGAAGAATACAGTTAATCAAACTTATTCTATAACAGTATATTAAAAACATTCTAGACTGTGCTGGTTTGAGTCTTTGTACAATTGGAATTAGGTACACAAATTGAAAAATAGAGTAATTTTGATAGGATTAGAAATTCCAACAGAAAAGCAATTTACTCTGACAAGATACGAGGTACAGATAATGTGGAAGGCTGGATAGGAAAGCAATCAGCAGAGGGAATGAGAGTTTTGAGAGCCAGAGCGCTGAGAGGCTGACTAATTCGCTACGGACTTCTCTGTTTCCATCCACCTTGGAACAGCGAGATCCCAGCTCTGTGAATAAGTTAGCAACACGAACATCTTCGCAAGAACAGCTCTTGTTTCCCGCATGGTGTGTTGCAGCATTTGAAACTAACTGAAAATGTAACTGAAATTTTTCTCTCGCTCTCCTGTAGGGAATCAGATGAGCAGTCGTCTGATGAGTATGCGCAGTGCCAATGGACTGTTGATGCTACCTCCAAAGACAGAGCAGTATGTGGAGCTTCACAAGGGGGAGGTGGTGGATGTCATGGTCATTGGAAGGCTATGATGCCACCAGCAAGAGCGAAGCTTTGATGCATGTCCACATATCATTGACTGTATCCTGTAATATGCAACGGCACAGCTAGTTTTTCTGATTTGGATAAAAGTTGATCAGTATAGTCAACATCTTGAATTATATTTCAAATGGAATTTAAATAAATACCTTTTAAAAAAAACTTTAAAACAAATCTTAACGAAGAAATTTATTCTGATTATATCAAAGCAACTTTTTCCTTTCCTTGCAATTGCTTTGTGTGTTCAATGCTAGTTCTAATAGCGGTAGCTTTTAGTAGACAGCAGTAGGTGCCTGCAGAACTTGTGTTTTTTCTCATCTTTAAGATACAACTACTTATGCTCTTAAAACAAGGCTGTCTGCTTATTTATACTAGCGTAGACAACACTTGGATTTCCCTTATTAGTATGCTTCATAACTGCTTCACAGAGAGCTTCTGCTTGTTCTTTATCTTGTATCTCGTGTTGATGTGCACAGTGCCAAAAGCAGAGTGGCTGCGCTGGGAACCCAATGAAGCCCCGAGGTTTTCACACCTCGCTGCGCATTCAGGGATCTCTCTTGTCCCGGCAGCCACCCAGCTCAGTACTCTTGGGCAGTAACTGGATACCTTTTATTTCAACAAACAAAAAAATTGCTTCCTTAAGTGCTGACAGCCTTTTTAACCAATACATTTAAAAATGTACAGAACTAAAAACTAAAAAAAAATCAAAGACTGATCTTGTACAGATATTAGTGTTACCAGCATTCGTGTGGAAATTAAATGAGCAAAGAAATAAAACTAATGTTAAACAACTCTGTACCATAACATTTTCTGTAATGATATTGAAACTTAAATGAATAAAAAAAATCCTCAATCATTATTTAAAATTTCACCTGTTTAGCCTTGTTGTTTGAAGCAAAAAAATAGTGGTTTAAGAGGGTATTCGGGGTGGGGGAGAGGACAGGACGGAAGGGAAGGTAGTGCATGGAACCCAGGGCCTTCCCTCAGGTACAGTATCATGAGTGAACTGAAAATACAGGGTGAGCTCCCTCTCACTCATCTCCCAAAGGACAAAATGGAAGCAGCATTTGGAGGGGGTTACAATTGGAGTAGTCAAAGCTGGAGAATACTTTTTTCCCCATCTAAATTGCATAGCAGTTGCAAACAGCCCTTGTGCTGCACTGTGTGGAATTTGGTAGAGCATTTGTATTTTTTTTTCATGAGATTCTCTTTTTGATACTGGGATTATTCAGGATTATTCAGCCCTCACCAGATTATGCATTTTGGTAATTTCACATTTCATCTGGGATTAAGACCATAGCAGTGCCCTACAACACCTTGCTTCTTGGAGTTCATGGGTAAAATGCTATCCCATCAACTCCATTCATGAAGCCAGAATATTTGTCTATAGTATTTTTTGAAGACGGTCAAGGCGGACACAGAAAACTGGGTTTAAGTCCTGACTGCCACAGTGGATGGGAGCTGTAGTTCTATGATAACAGCAGAGCGCATCTCTGAGGCTGGTTTTAAAACCAGACCCTTTGTTTGCTGTGCAGCAGCCTGAATCCTCCCTGCACAGGCCCCTGCAAAGCTTGAAGGCAGGTGGGCATACATGGTGTTCAAAGACACTCCAGGGGCTGATCTTTCAGAAAAACAGTGAGACAACTTGCTGATTATACTTCCTTCTGGACTACATGTCCACATTTGTGATCTCTCTACGTAGCAGCAGGAGGGTACCAAATTCAATTCATGAATGCCTGTATTTACCGTACCGATATTGTAAACCACAGAAGAAGGAAGAGAGAGGAGCATTAATTCATCTCTGAGAAATAATGTAGAACACTGCCTTTTATAATCTAAAGGATTATTATATAGTTAGGAGTTACTGCAGGCAACACATATAATGGAAATTGGAAATTTATAAAGGACACCAGTAACAACAACCTTGGGGACGATTGTTCATGCAATTGGAGATGCTAGACAAAGATAAAAGAGAGATGTGAGGAAACCTAGCCAGAAGTATCGTGGCTCTGGTTTACATTAAAACCATTACTCAAAACAAATGTGGCAGAGAAGAGTTGGCACAAGTGCTGTGTATAATGCATGGCTCTGTTTAAACCATATCTCAGCATCTAACACTTAATTACCATTGTAAAGAATAAAGCATTTAGAGGTTAATCAAGATTTTTTTTTTCCAAATCACTGATACTATAAACTGCTTTAGCCACTCTACTCTCTTTAGTAATCCCCTCTGCCCAGCCTTCAAAGTTTTATGCAAGAAAATAAGCTTTGCAGTTCCTGAGAGAGACGCTCACAGCCCAGCCTTCGTCAACACTGAAAGCCATAGCAGTATGTTGGAGAGGTAACTCAGGGAGCAGTACAATAAATCATTGTTACAACTGTGTCTCAGTTATCAAGCCTAAAATCTGAAGAATTTGCCTTGGTTGTTGTCATATAAATGGATATAGGTGTGATATAAACAGATAAATGCAAATCACTTTTTTTACTTTTAACGTTCCCAACTCATGGTTTCAGGGAAGGTTGGAAGCTTCAGAAAAGAAATCAAGGACAAACGGATCTTCGAGTATGTGGTAACTTTGGTTCAAGGACTGAGACTTGCAAATGGAAACATTTTAAGGAAAACTTTCACTATTTTTACTTCTCTAATTAAGGTTTTAGCACAATCAAAATAGTAATTTACTTAACAACAAGAAGCAATGCCTGCAATGACTGAAGATAAGGTTGGTATTCCAACATTTGTAGTTTTCTTCTTTTTACAGCATTTTCTTCAACATCTATGAATGAACATAATCAACGATCATACGCAGTGGGCCTTCTGAGTCCCATTCATCCAGCTGGGATAATCCTACAGTGACCTAGAAATCGTACAGCAGCTTTTGTATCCTGGCTAGCTGGTACCAAAACCTTGATTGTACACCCAGATGTGAAACATCATTCAGAAATTGGCTGTATTCAATCAGATAAATAGAAGAATAGATGGCCTCTTCCAAATACTAATCTCAAGACTTTAATTACAGAAATTACAACGTTAATTCTATCTTGATATTGAAATATGCTAAACATGAAATATTTGTCTTTGATCCGTAGGTAGTTATGTATGTAGATCTGTATGACTCCAGAGATTACTAATCAGCATGGAATCTTCAGCCGGTTTTGATTCTTAGCTGAAGGGTTGCACTTAAAACATATGACAAGATGGATACTGCTTGAGGACCATATGCAGCTGGAATCGCCCTGCAGGTTCTGTCTTTGTCCTCCCCAGCTTGCCACTCTGCACCAAGTGCCAAAGGTTGTCTTCTTTGAAACATCTCAGTCCAGAAGATGCGCTGCTTGCCTCGTGCCTGGTAAAGATGGTAGCCTGCGCATGCCCTGCACTGACCACAGAAGTGCCCCGTACAGTGACCGGATCCCCCTTTTCCTTCCGGTTGCCTTGGTTCCAAGGCTGTCAGTGTTGGGGTGGCGCGTGCCAGCCTCGGTGCCTTCCTATGGCAGCAGTGTTGGGGGCCTGCCTCAGGTCACGCTCGGAGAAGGTCTTCAGGCTCCAGCACTTGCAGGGCAGGAACTACATCTAGGAGTTGAGGCTTTAGTGGGACATCTTGTTTTGGGAAGCAGATGCCAGGCTAAGGTGGCCCAGCACTTCCTATGGCCCTCTATTGCGTTCTAACACTCAGCTTCTCAAAAATAGCACTGTCATCTGAACTGTTTGTGAGGTTGTGTGTTAGATATAAGGGAAATATACATTAAATCAAAACAAGAGAAACATATCACAGCTTTCTTTTCTTACACGATAACAGCACTGAGGTGTTTCCAGGTAGCTGTGTTTGCAGTCGACAAAGAGAAGACAAGCAAAGTAAGGGCCAGATAGCAAAAAGCCGTAAGTATTGGTTAATGCTGAAGACACATCTCTCAGGGAGTGGATAAAGATTCATCAGCAATCAAGTTCAATAGTTGTTTTAAAGGCAGAGTCTCCCTGGATGCATTCATTTGGTATATTTGGATGTATAGCTTTGTACTTCCCCTGAGGAACTAGGTGTAGGAACGGGAGAGCGTCAAATGAGTCAGAGCCCAATTCAAGCTACGTTATCAGGCAGTAGCTTGGGCTGACAGGTAACATCCTCACACCCTTTCTCTTACCTGACAGGAAACTAGGAATAAGAAGGAAGAGGGTAGATGTTGAAATGCTCAAGCACAAAATTTGCCAAAAATTTTATTTTTCCTTAGCTGGAAAATTGAAACTAGTTTTTACTACCAGAAAAAAAGCATAAAAATTGTCTGCCATTTATGCTGACACTTTCCAAATATTTCTAATAGACTTTTATCCCAAATAAATTCAGGAATATATTCCCAACCTAATATTTATTTTGTGAGGTTATTTTACATATTTCTCAAAATTCCAGGTAAGAAACTCTTTGCTTAAATGCTGTATACCTATGGTAGTCTCCTTCCTGAAGCTAGTTGAAGTCAGCTGGCATTAGTCCCATGAAAAAGCTGAATTTTAGCACTACAGGTTAGAGAGGGCCGGGCATTTATGCATGTAGTCAAAGCAAGCAGAGACATTTCTAGGAGAGGGGGCGAACAAGGTGGTCAAAGTCACAACTATTGATGAAGAAAAAGGATTTGCAGTGGGGAGAACAATTGCAGCAGCTGATGATGGTTCCAGCAGCAATCTGTCGAATAGAGACAAGGTATAGTTTCCCATAGCAGTATTTGGTCAGTACGTTGCAATTAAGTGCCTTAACCTCATGATGAAGAACATGGTCTCTAACAATTGTTTTGGCAATGAAATGCTTTGGCAACCCCTTGGCCTTCCTAAAGCCAGCCAGTCTCGAAAGACAAAACACAGCATTTGCACCCCTTCAGCATGACACTGTCAACAGCTGAACTTCTCGATTTACTCAGAGTGAAAAAATCCACATTGTTGTTTCTTCTTTGTTTTCTTTTATGGATTTTTTTTGTGTGTTTTTTTTGAAACTTGATTTTTGTTTTCTAGTAAGTATATCCCAGCCTCCACCCAGAAAGGTGAGTCCCCATGCTGTCTTTAAACTCAGCATTGAAATGCAGACACTTCTTGGCTAATTCATGGGGAGGAAAAGCCTGTGGGTTTTGCAAATGTTACAGGCTCATGATGTGCTGCTAGTTGCAAGTTTTCTGAAAGGGCTTAGTGACTCATATTCAGCATTAGATTAAGATTTGCTCTGTGCATTTGTGCCATATTGCACACAAGCTGACAAAGCTCTTGGAATATAAAGCCTTCAAAAGGGCAATGCACAGATGCTCAGTAGCTCTTTAGTTGTCAGACTGGTCTGGCTGGGATTACTTTCTCCATCCCAGCACTGTGCAGTGACATCCAGCATGCTTTCTCCCTGTGCAAGGACTTCGGCAATTGCATGGACCCAATTGGGGTTTAAAAATACAGGCAGCCAACTTAATTTTTGCGGGGTTAATTCACAAGCAAAACCAAAACAAGAATGTACACCAGTTAACTCCACAGATAATCTGAACATGCCAGAGAAAGCAAATGCACTGGCATGATCTTGATAACCAGGGATTCCAAAGGAGAAGTAATGTAACTTGAAGAAAAGTATAAGAGAAGATGGAAGGTAAGTCTATATCTGTGCAAAAACTACCTTAGAAACAACAGCAGGGTAAGATCTCAAAACCCTGATTTACTCCTTCTGTAGGTGTGGAACGCTGCCAGACTGAGAGCCATATCCAGATGCATTTGCTTCCATTAAAAAAAAGCAGTCACAGTGCAATACTGACATGTTGCCAGCCACTGGCACACAAAAAACTGCCCCACCGGACTGACAAGAAAGCATGCAAAGCGGCTTTTGTCGGTACCTGACATTCTCCTCATGTGGATTTT